CAAATGCTATTCTCTCCCTTGGCTCATTTTTCTCTATCTACTTCTACCCTTTGTGCCTGACTTTCTATCAGTGAGTTTCTCAGTGACTGAGTTTTAGGAAACCTGAGTTGATCGGCCCAGACAAATGGTAGCAGAGAGAAACTTCCTAAAGGGAGAAGGAATCTATCCTAAACCTGCCATAATTACAGATTTCAAAGCAAATTTGAAGTGATTTAGGAACTATCTGTAGCTTCCCCTCCCTCCACTAGTACCTGCAATGGTGAGCTAAAAGAGGAGTTCTGGCTGTAAAGTAACATGACTGCAAGATACAAGGACATTTTGGGATGTCTAAACTATTAAAACCATCCAAGTGCTTTCTCCAAAATAATCACAGTGATGGCAGACACTTGTAGAATAGAATCCAACATACCAAAATGTCTTGCATTGTGTCTGAATTTCAGAGGAAAAAATAATCAGAAAGAACTTTACTAAAAGGAAAAAAAATCTCCTATTAGAGTAGGAAAGAACTGTGAGATGTTTCTGTGAACAACAAATTGAATGGGAGTTTTCACGGTTTTGAATACAAGGTTTGAAGAAATGTTCAGTAACTTTTGGCTTAATTATCCATAACAACTGAGACAGTTATTGAATTGTCATTGTTTTAATTAATTTTGATTAATTGTGATACATGATGAACCTCAGCCTTGTTTCACAAGCATATTTAACAACTAAATCATGTAAAAGGTGTTTGGATATGTGACCTGGAAGTAATTTTATTAGCACTAGAACTTTCTCTTCTTTTCCCTGGGTGCAAGGAGAGCTTCAGAAGAGTCAAGTTCACTCAAAGTAAAACTATTTGTTCAAAATTTCCCTCAGCTTTCCAAATCTAGCTGGTGAGGATGACCTTCCTACTGATTGGAAGCTGACTTCCAATCTTAGAGGGTGTCTTAGTTACTTTTCTCATTGCTGAGACAAAATACCTGTCACCCAAAGCTACCAGAGGAAAGGCTTATTTCAGCTCACAGTTTGTAGAGGTTTCAATCCATAGTCAGCTGGCTCCAAGGCAAGGTGGCATGGAAGAGGGACATTGCAAAGGACAGACAGTTTGTGACAAAGCAGGGCAGGCAGAAGGCAGCAAAGCAACAAAGTATGGAAGCAGCCAGCCAAGCACCAAGTGACAACAGCAGGCCTCTTTCTGTCCCTTATATTTTATTCAGGCTATCCGCCCTTAGGGCAGGCAGCACTCACACCCAGGGTGGGGCACCCTTAATCCTAGCATAGCACCATGAATCAATCCCAGCATCACACATCCTAGATCCAGCCACCTCTGAAAAGCACTACCTATGAGCATGTGAGGCTCTGGGGGCACATCTAGATACAAGCCGTAATAGAGGGAAAGGCCTCAATTCTTTCTAGGTTTTCTTTCTAAGAGCAGTTCATGCTCTTTTCTTCCACACACTTATATGTCCTTCAGAGCAAATGTTCAAATATGTTCAGCAGTGATAAATCTTTGTGTTTTGAGTAATATTTTCTTTTGGAAACAACCAAAAGTCATTCAGAGGAAAGTTGGATGATTAATATGAGGAATGAGCTTGAATAAAATATGCATATACAGGGTCCTGGGATGTTGAATGCTTTACAAAAAGGGCAGGGGGACACATACATTGCAGAGTCAGAAGTTGAGTTTCAGTAGGTCCAGGACTTCTAATTCTAACCTACTACCCTTCCCTCATGCCTCAATAAAGCTACATTTGTCTGGTTTGGGGGGCTGCTTTACTTCTGGGGGGACAAAGAGCAAAGACTCCATGAGCCCACTTTCTGGGAAAGGAATTTGTGGTTATGTCATCTATCTTAGTCTGTGTTCTGTTGCTATCCCTGAATACTGCAGACCAATGTATAAAGAATAGAGGTTTATTTAGCTCACAGTTCTAGAGTCTGGGAAGTCGAAAAAGCCTGGCGGTGGCATCTGGTGAGGGTATTTCTGCTGCATCATGATATGGTGGGAGGCATCATATGACAAGACAGGCAAGCTGCTAACTTGAGTCTCTCTCTTATTGTAAAGCCACTAATGCCATCATGGGGGCCCCACCCTCATGATCTCATCTAATCCTACTTACTTCCTAAAGGCTCCACCCCCAAATACCATTAACATGAATGTAGGTATTAAATTTTCAACCATGAACTTTTCTTTCTTTCTTTCTTTCTTTCTTTCTTTCTCTCTTTCTTTCTTTTGTTTTTGTTTTGGTGGTACTGGGGATTGATCCCAGGGGCACTCTACTACTGAACTACATTCCTATCCCTTTTGGTTTTGCAATAGGATCTTGCTAAATTGCCCAGGCTGGCCTTGAATTTGTGATCCTCTTGTCTCAGCCTCCAAAGTAGTTGGGATTACAGATATATGCCACCATGCTTGGCCCAACCATGAACTTTTGAGGGACACTTTAAAACCATAGCACCATCCCTGGTCCAAAACTTGGTATGAAACCTTCCAGGACCTGAAGTCTAGTATTCAGCAAAGATATATCTGTTGCTTCTGCCTCTCTCCCTTTTTTATTCTTTATACCTAGGATTGAACTCAGGACCTTGCACTTGCGAGACAGGAGTGGCGCCACTGAGCTAAATCAGTTGCTTCTGCCTCTCTTTCATGGGCCCCCAACCACCATGGCTCATAGTAACTCTACTTCTTTCAGTGTTTCTTCTTTATCCTCTTTTCCCAGCTAGATCCCAAAATCTAATTTGGGATTAGATCCCAATTTGGGAATCCCAATTTCTAATTTGGGATTTAGATCCCAAATCTAAATTCCAAAAGAAGTCAGAATACTTGGCTTAATTCTTCACTACCAGCCCATTGGGTAGAGCCTTTCACACCCAGCACCCTCATCCATCCCTAAGCACGTGGGAGCTTCAGCTAGAAAGTTACAGAGGGCTCGTTATAGCAGGGTCATCAGTAATAGCAGGGATGCTGTTGATCATGATGGAGACAATGACCTATGCAATATACTGAGTGCAAAGCATGTGCCTCCTACCTTGCCAAGCCTTTTGCATGCATGTTCTGCAAGGCTTGTGAACTAAATCTGTTCAATTCTGAAGAGGTAGCAAGACAGGCAGTAGTAGAAAATTCCAACAACTTCTCCCGTCCATCCACCATGCTAAAATTCAGTAGCATAACTTCTTGCATCTTTTCCTAGCTAAAATAACCAAAAGAGTAATCATAGTATCCTCTCCCATCCCTGACCCAAAATAAGAAGTCTATAGGGAGGCAGCAAGGATTCAGCTCTCCTTTGTTCTTGTCACCCTGAAGGATAGAAAGGAATATGCCCAAATGGACTCCGTATGTGGTCCTTGGATTGTCAATGCCCAGACAAAGGCCGTCTGTACTCTTGATTCTTCTTGAAACTATTCTTGCAGTCTGGAATAGAGTTTAAGCCTTCTGAGAAAGCGGAGCTAGCTCCCTGATGTGATTTTAGGGATCAGCAACCCCATCTCTCCCTTCTGAGAGATTCATTCTTTGTTCTTTAGGTTGTTTGTTTGATTGATTGATTTATTGGTTGGTTGAGTTTTGAGATGGTGCCTCACTATGTTGTCTAGGCTGGCCTCAAACTTGTGCAAATCAAGCAAATAAAACTCAAGCAATCCTCTCATCTCGGGCTCCTAAGTTGCTAGACTATAGGTGCGCACCATTCCCCCCAGGTTGTCTGTGTTTCTAGATCAACCTTATCATAAGGTGCATACCCCTTTCTAAAGGATAATTCATTGGGTTTCATCAGTCAAAACCTTTCAGGGAAAGATGATAACTATCTGAGGAATGATGTCTTTATTCTACCAAGTGTCCTTACTCAACCATTGAAAATGTACAACCTATTGTGTTTGTCCAAAATGAAGGAAGCAGTTTGCTCCTAAGATAGGAAGGCTGAATCGCATCCAGTTCCTTATCTCCGTGCTCCTTGCCTATGTTCCTCATACTTGTCTGATAACAAGAATGACCCAGGACACCTGCCAAAAATGCATAGTCCTAGGTCCCTACTAGACTTGCCTATCCAGAATTTTTAGACAGGGGCCTAAGGACCTATATTTTTATAGCACTCTGAAAACTTTGATCACCATTCAAGTTTGGGACACACTGCCCATTTTAAAATCATTGATCCCCCCCTCTTTCTCTGCCAATTAAATCTCTCTCTACCTCCTAGGGTTTCAGTATGTAGACAAGCTTGGGCCCCAGTAAACAATATGATGTTAATCAAGCCACTTCCTGTTTGGGTCCTTATTCTCATCTGGAAAATTGAAGTGTTTTACTAGATCACTTGATAATACAGTCTACCATTTGCATTTGGCAGCATGGGCCCTGAAAATTAATTGTGACAATATGTTCCACCATTTTTGAAGCCTTTTTTCAGGAGAGTCCCCGGGGCAAGTGAGAAGTAAGGGCTGCAAGTCTCTGTGAGAGATAATGCTTAGGCAAAGGCCTAGCAGAGGGCCTGGGGCTGGGAACTTTCAGAAAGTGTTAGCCACCTCCTTCTCCCAACTGTGTCACATAGTAATCCCTACAGAGGCTTCTGTGCCTGCCCTGTACATGCAGTTCCTGCCACCCTACAGAACTTACCAACCCTAAGACCATGGGCAGTTGGCTACTTCCCATCACAGTAATCAGCTCCAAAGCCTCCACTCTCTTGTCACACTGTGGTGCCTTAGATGTGCCATTTTCTCCTTCTGGACTCCTTTCTCTCCAAACACCTCACCCCTTCACCCCACCTCCTCACCTCCACCCGTCACCCCTACACACATTCCAGCCATAGCCTGCTCTTTCCTTTCCTGCCCCCCCCCCAAAAAAACTCTCTGCTCAGTCCCCTGTCCCTACTCAGGGGTCCCTGCTCCTCCTCCTCCTGCTCAACACATTCCCCCATCTCCAGCGTCTTTCCCCCGCACCGAAGGGCTCCTCCGGTCCCGAGGTCTCCACCCAACAGGAGAGCCTACTATCGCTCAGCACCCATTTCCTCTCCGGGTTCTCTCCCACGTGCTCACAGGGCCTGCCCAGCCCCCTCCTGCGCTGCCCAACACAGAGACTTCTGGACCGCGTAGTCCGGCGCTACGCTGAGGTGGCTGACGCTGGCAGCATCTTCATGGACCACTTCACCGACCGAGACAAGTTGCGTCTGCTCTACACCCTGGCTGTCAACACGCACCCAATCCTCCTACAGGTACAGAGACCCTGCAAGCCCTCCAGGTTGAGGGCTCATCTCGGGTTCCCAGGGGCTGGCCATTTCTGGCCGTTTCTGTCCCCCTCTTTACTGCACACCTTGAGGCCACTGGCCTGTGTTGGTACCTTATGGCATTCAGTGAGTATTTGTTGGTTTCTGCTATGTGAAAGCGCTATGGCTGCTGCAGAGGAAAGAGATGTGGAAGCAAAAAGATGAGGTTGTGGGTAGGAAGAGATCATAGCCACCTTTACTGCTTTTTAAAAAATATTTTTATTAGTATCTGTTTGCCAAGCATAATAAATCTTGGAGGATTGGTATTTCTGCATCTTAAACCTTTTTACTTCTCCTTCCACTCTCCTGCACTTCATCCCATCTTCCCCATTCCCAGATCCCCTTCCCATCTCCACAAAGTCTGTCTCCCTGTTTCTGATCATCTATCTTTTATTTTAGTCTTTAAATTATAAATGTATACTTTGAGTTTTTCATATAAGAGAAACCATGCAATATTTAACATGCTATATCTAATTTATTTTGCATATCATGATGGTCTCAAAATGCATCCATTGTCCTACAAGTGACTCAAATTTATCTTTCTTTAAGGCTGAGTAGTACTCCACTATGTATAAATACCACCTTCTCTTTATCCATTCATCTGTTGATGGACACATGCTGCTTCCAAGATTTAACTATTGTGAATTGTGCTGCTATAAACATGGGTATGCATGTATCACTGTAATATAATACCTTTACTCTTTTGGGATGATACCTAGAAGGGGAATAGCTGGGTCAAATGGAACCTCTAGTTTTGGTTTTTTGCAGAATTTCCATACTGATTTCCATAGTGGTTGTACCAGTTTACACTCCCATCAACAATGTAGAAAGGTTCACCTTCACTCCCTGTGGTAGCAGAAAGGTGTGAAGGAAGGCAACTTTGGTCAGTGGCTCAAATATCAAATTTGAGCAAGCTCAGGAAATGGGAAAATAGCCAAAGAATGACTCACTCAGAGCTGTGCCGATAGCTGTGCTTGGAAAGGAGAAAAAAATGGAAGTAATCTAAATGTCTATCAATAGGGGAATGGTCAAACAAATGAGTATGTGTTAGGGCCCGGGGATACAGGCATGGTGGTCCTGTCTTCCACTAGGGTGGAAGTTAGTGTCAGAGACAGACACTTAACATGTAAACAAACATTGGTGTAAGATAAGAACCCAATCCCCCTGACCCCAACACTCAGGACACAGAGATCACATAATGGACACAAAGGAAACTATGAAGTAGGAAGGAGATGCAGGAAACAGAAAAAGAAGAAGAGAAAGGAGAGGGAGAGGAAGGAGGAGAAGAGACAGAAGGAGAAGGGGAATGGTGCAGGTAGAGGAGAAAGGAGCCACCAAAGACAGTTCATAAATATTGGCCTAAGGGATGATAGCTGAATACGTAAGCAATGACTCTCATTTATTGAGCACTGGCTATGTGCCTGGTATTGTGTTGAGTGCTGATACCATTATGTCAGTTAACGCTCACAGTGACCCTCTGGAAATATTATTGTCCCCTTTTCTAGAGGTTAAATGGGACTCAAGAGATATGAAATGACTTGGCTAAAGTCACTTAATGTTATGGATGGAACCCAAAGCCAGAACTGTCCGATGTCCGAGCTATACATGCTAAATCCTGCCTGGAACATTGGCATTTGCAATACTAGCAGCAGAGAAGGAATTACTCTTTGTCCTGCACTCACAGAGGTGTTTTTTTGTTTGCATTTTTTGTTTGTTTGGTTTTTGGTGCCGGGAATAGAACTCCGGCTCTTGTGCTTTTGAGGCAGGCAGCAGAACCACTGAGCCAAATCCCCAGCTTTCACGGAAGTCTTTTTCCAGTTGTTGTAACTTTGTTTGGCAGTAGCAGATCATGGCTACAGCTCCTGAGAGTCCTGGGCTAGGACCAGGGGGCTGGGATACTACACTCAACCCTGGGCTCCACCCACAAAGGGCATAGTGTGGAGCAATTGCATATCTGTTTATTTATTCATTTATTTACTTTTGAGGTACTGAGGATTGAACCTGGGCCTTTCTCTGAGCTTCATCCCCAGCCTGTTTTATTGATTGATTTTGTGACAGGGTTTCACCAAGTTGCTAAGGTGTCCAGGCTGTGCTCGAACTTGCAATCTTCTTGCCTCAGCCTCAAAGAGTATGGGAATCACAGGCATGCACCACCACACTCAGCTGAGGCTGCACATTTAGACAGTGACAGCAGGTGTGGGATCTCCCTTCAAGGCACATAGCAGGAAAGGTTCTCCTCTGGTCAGGGGAAACTCAAAGAGCAAATGGGCATGGGTTCTTCATAATGGAAGTTAAAATGGGCAGAAGACCACAGAAAATTATCAAAGAAAGATGACTTTGTTTTGTTTTGCTTTGTTTTCACAGTGCTAGGTATGGAACACAGTGCCTTTTTCATGATAGGCAAGCACTCTACCACTGAACTACACCCTCAGCCCAACTTTCTTTCTATAAGAAGGAGAACAAGGGAGACTGCCGGGTATTTATAGATTTTGCTATTTTCCCCATAGTTGAAAGAAACACTATACTAGATACAGCTACTTTAATCAGTGGCCAAGAAAAGACCAGTCAGGATTCCCTACCCCCTTTTTGGTGTCACAAACTCAAAAGTTTGGGGCTCTGACAAGGAGTCAAGCCAGGCTGTGCTTCCCTAGGCCAGCAGTGTTGGGCCCTCTGCGAGGTTCCAATCTGTGAATATGTAGTTGCCCCAGCCAGACAGGTTTGCCCAAGGCTGGCAGGAGAAAGATTTAGAGATTTAGAGCCTTGAATTGCCCAAGGGTCACCTTCATGATTTTTGTCCTATCCAAGAACCAAAAAACTGCACTGTTACTTTAATTTTTTTTTTTTTTGAGACTGAGGAAGGGAGGTCTTGCTATGCTGCCCAGACTGGTCTCAAACTCCTGGGCTCAAGGGATCCTTCTGTCTCAGCCTCCTGAGCACCTTGGACCACAGGCACATGCCACTGCACCCAGCTTGCACTATTATTCTTTAAAAGTATTTTTTCTTTCAATCAGTAAGTTTTTCCCTTAGTTTCTTCCTAAGCAGTGATGTCTGTGAAATCGAAAAGACTAGTGCTGTTTTGTTCAATGGTTCAACACTTAAATAAACATATTTCCCTGAAGCCTGGATATCATTGAAAATCATAGCAGGTCCGTTAATATTTTCATACCCTTCTTGAAAATGTTGAAATACAATCCAGTGCATAGAAATGAGAGCAGTCTCCTCCTGAATCTTTCCATCCACAACAATAAAAATATGGGGAAGAGGGGGGCGGGTATTGCCATGTTCCAAAAGGTATTTGCCAATGTTTTTTTGAAACCAGGATGCCAGTGAATGCTGATTTTCCTGTGCGCATTCCAGGAGAGGTAGAGGGAGAGCTGTCTCCCTGAGATTTTTCTTACATATTCTCTAATGCCTGCTCCTTCTGGCTTGGCAGATCTTCCCCGGGGTAGAGGGCTGGCCACTGCCCAAGTACCTGGGCTCCTGTGGCAGACTCCTCATCAGCACCAGCACCAGGCCTCTGCAGGAATTCTTCGGTGCACCTCCAGACCAGGCAGCTGATCTCGCCTACCAACTCCTTGGTGTCCTGGAGTCCCTGAGGAGCAACGATTTGAACTATTTCTTCTACTTCACCCATGTCAATGCAGGCATGTTTGGCATCTTTAACAACGGGCATCTGTTCATCCGGGATGCCAGCGCACTGGGTGTCATCGACAAGCAGGAAGGTACCCAGCATGGGCCTGGCTTAGCTGTCAAGGGGGATGTCAGGGTGACATGGGGTCACACTATAGGGCCTTTCCAGTTTCTGTATCTCACCATGAGAACAACCCAAATTCAGGGAGTGTTCGATGCCCTTTAAAATATCCCTCATCCCCATCTGAATTTCTGCTCTAGCTCCAGCTCCAGCTCCAAAGGAGAAGTGAATTTGTCCTTTTCCACAAAGGGCATTGTCCGTAGTGGCTCATCCCCCACTGCACCCTCCCAAGGCAGTGCTGTTGTGTAAAAACATGGAACCAAATGAGGTGTGTGAATCATGTTTCTTGCTATGTGCAAAGGCTTATCCAGCATTTAGAACCCTTTAAACATCCCCATTTCTCATGGTGATCAAATTTTCTAGGCTCAATAATAGGACAAAGGATTTTCTTTTCCTATTTCTGATTTTGTTTATATAAGGAAGTCCACAAAGATAGAAAAATTAAACCACACTTACTCATTTCCTGATTTTTCCTTTATTAAGAAGAATCAAGTAAGAAAAATATCAGGCTGATTCCAGAACATTCAGGCTATATAAATCACTGAGTATCAGGTTTGTTTTGTTTTGTTTTTGGTACCAGGGATCAAACTCAGGACCTTGTGTTTACGAGGCAGGTGCAGTGTCACTGAGCTATATCGCTGGCCCTGTTTTGTTTTGTTTTTAAACCAGGCTTTGTGATTTTTATTTTTTTATTAATTATATTGGTACATTTAAGGTATACAATATAATGACATTCATCAATGGAAATTAGAACCTTAACATAATCCATCTTTGTTCTTATTTTTCCCCATTCCCCTGCCCTCCCTTCAACCCCTCTACCTCTCCCTATCTACAAAGACTTTGTTTCTATTTTTTCTTTTTCTCATATTAATACCATTTCCTTTTTTCTTTTCCCCTACCCCTCCTATTTCCCCTTCCCCTTTGCCCCTTTTCTTCCTATTTCACATTATCTATTATACCTTTTAGTCCTTATTTACACTTTCAGTTTCTCACACTAGAAAACGATTCGGTATTTACACATGTGTGTCCTATTTATTTCACTTAAGAGTATTGCCTCAATGTGCATCCAGAAATCAACCAATAACAAATGCTAGGGGGGCTGTGGGGAAAGAGGACCCCTACTCCATTGCTGGTGGGAACATAGACTGGTGCAACCACTGTGGAAATCAGTATGGAGATACCTCGAAGAACTAGGACTGGAAGTCCCATTTGACACAGCTATTCCCCTACTGGGTATCTTCCCCAAATAATTAAACGAATCATACCACAGTAATATATGTGCACCCATGTTCATAGCAGCACAATTTGTGATAGCTAAACTTGGAAACAGCCCAATTGCCCATCAACTGGAGACTGGATAAAGAATATGTGGGAGTTTTTTATAAAATGGAGTATTACTCGGCCATAAAGAATGAGAAACTAGAGACATTTATAGCTAAATGAGTATTTATGCCAACCTGCTAAATGCATATTCTGGATTACCTGGGGGTTTTTTTCCTGATTTTATATTTTAAATGGGCAAATGAAATTAGTCCTAATAATTTCCTGAGTTCCCTAATTTAGTAATGATGGCCGAATAACAATATGAATATGATTCCTATAATTATATGCCTGGCTTCTAGTAGGAATAAGTGGATTTTCCAAGTTCAGGCCTCAACCTATTACAGCAGAGAGAGTTCTTTCCATGTTGCTGTCAGAAGGGACTGTTGTGTCCTTGGACCCTTAATCTCCTGGTGACAAAGAAATGTGAGGAGACCGATCTGCTTCCCCTAGCAAGTCTAATTAGTGGTGCCTTTTCCTAAGGAGAACAGGTTATAGGGTGTGTGATATTTTCCATTTCTTTTCCAGGCAGCCAAACAGCCACCACGACCAGAGAGAACCAAGATGTTTTCAGTTGCCTGGTTTCTGGTTGCCAGGCCCAGCTGCCCTCCTGTGACACCATCCCCGAGAAGCATAGCCTGGTGTTGGTATGTCAGCAGTTGCTGCCTCGACTTCTCCAGGGGAGGTTCCCTTCCCCAGTGCAAGAGGAAATAGACTCAGCTCTCACTCACTGTGGTGAGAGCTCCCGCCCAGACCCAGAGGTTCTCCAGGCTGCTAGCCAACTGAAGGACATCTTGAGGCCCCTGAGAACCTGTGACCCAAGATTTGCCTACCGCTACCCAGACTGCAAGTACAATGATAGGTTCTGAGGGTCTGGAGCCCTAGCTGACCTGAGAGGATAATGCCCTTGATCCTTCCTCCCCCTAACCCCCACACACCAGTTTAAAAGCAGCAGTTCCATTCCAAACATTAGGAGAAGCACATTCATTTCTCAGGGACTGAGGAACACTTGAACTAGGAAGAGAAATTGTGTGACATTACATGATTTCCCCCATTGGCCGGGAACTTCATGGCAGAGCCCAAGGCTGGGTATCAGAAGACCCTGTATGAACACTCACTTATGTCTTTGAGCCTCTGTTTCTCCTGTTTGCCACCAGACTCTCAGGATGGTGAAAGAAGAGAGCAATGTGAGGGGCCTAGCACACAGGCTCTCTACCCCCTGCCAAGGTAGGAGACCCCTCAGGGCGCAGGAAAGAGCCAGAGCTAAGAGAAGAGGAGTCAGCAAGAGCCAGGTTGTTAGTCCAGGTCATCTACAAAGTGGGTGTCAAGCCAGGTGTGCACATGTATGAGTGTTCTTAGGGGAAACAACTATAAGAAAGACAAAGAGCAGGCAAGCAAAGGCCCGGGGGACTACCAAAGCATGCTGCAATCTGACTCCAGGGAAGGGGAGGAGGCTGTGGAAGAGAGGTTTCCAGGGTGTCTTCGAGGCAAAGCCTGCCACCAGAGGACTCCTCTTAGTGTACTGGCTGCACTCAGTCATCAGTGGGACCAGGCTGTGGGAAATGTGGCCTCACAGAGATGGATTTCAGAGCCCAGCCCCTAGGACACAGTCAGTTCTGCTCCCTGAGTGGCAGAACACTCTCGTTGTAGCCACAGACTTGGACCAGGGCTCGGCTCTGCCCACACCATATGCTGCAGTGCACAACTCCTTAGAGTCTGTGAGAATTTTCATTCAAATTTGGCCTCACAGGTCACTGTAAAAATATTTTTTCAAGGTCAGCCAATAGAACATATGCTACTCAATAGTTAGTTTGCTTTATACCTTTTATATTAAGTATGTGGCCACATGGGCTGTGGGCCTCCATGCATGCTCTTATCTGCTCTGTGAGCAGCAGTGGGGGACTCTTCTAGGTCTTTCGCCAGCCTCCCTGCCAGCCCTCTACTCCCAGGAACCTTTCAGTCTACCTCCTCTTTTCTACCTCTGAATCAGCATCTTTAAGGTCAGAACACCTGGCTTAACAGACCTCATTATGCAGATGAGAAAACCAAGACCCAGGGAGGTAGAGATTTCCTGGGATAGTCCAAGAACTCCCACTACCAGACCATGCTCTTCTTTTCTTCTCCATCAGCCTCTGACTCTCACCCTCTATTGTCCAGTTCTAGTTTCTTCACTCACATTTAAAGATGGACACCCCTCCCCCCAAAAGTCTTATTTTGTGGTGTACTGGGTTGCCTTTTGGGTTTGCCTTTTGATTGCTCCAGACACTGCCCTATGGCATCAGTGACAGTGAGGATGACAGGTCAAGCTTGTGGAAGAGCAGGTTTCAGTTCCCTGTGAATCATTGAAATGGCTGCCTTCTGGTTTGGTTTGACCACCCTTCCCACCTGCACAGTCACAGTCTTTCCTTTGGCCTGAATGTAGTGTGTCCTCAGGCCTTCCAGCTGGCCAAAGGAAGTAGGTCACAGCCTGCAGACCTTCCAGAGCTCCACAGGGGAATGAGGGTTGAGCCGGGCCCCAGTGCATCTCTATAGGTTTGGGTGTTTTTCCATTGCAGGATGCTTCCATACAGTGAGTGACTTTTGAGTGAGGTCCCACCCTGGGGAGTCCAGAAATGGTCCTTTCATGGGACTTGAGCTAACCCTCCTCTAAACCCCCCACTGTCTGTACACCTGCATAGACCTCCAGACCTCTACTCCAGACTGGTCCCCTGAGACTCTGAGGAATGTTCTTTCAAAACCATCATGTAACCTGGAGCTGCTCCATCTAGACAGGAAATGCAGCTCCAGGCCCCTCCTGAGTCAGGACAAAGAGATCTTATGTTCCGCTTGCCAGAGTCCTGGGAGAAAGCAAAGAAGAAAACCACCCAAGCAACCCCCAGGGGGCTGCTAAGAGATTTGTTTTTAGTATAAATTATAATCAAATTCTATTTGCACAGCTGTGTTCACATCCGCAGTGCAGGCCAAGAGTTAAGGAAGGCCAGATAGATGTCAGGCAGGGCCCACATACGCTTAGAAATGGTCTAAAAATGGCTCCCCAGCTAGTGGCTTTTCATGGACTATGAAGGGCACAGAGTCCCTTTTCTCATACACTTTCACGTCAGAGCAGATGTGTTGCTCTTGTCAGCATGGCTGAAAATCACAGGCCCCATTCAGGTACTGTCTTCAGGGGACCTTCTCCCCAAACCCCACCATCTGCTGACTCTCTCTGACACTCCCTCCCTGTGGTAGACCCAGAGCAGAGCCATTCAGATCCCTCTTTAAGTAACAACTCTCTCTCCAGCATGGGGCTGCAGTCAGTAGGCAGCTGTCAGCCCCTTGAGCCTCTGCCTCAGCCATTCTGTGGCCTTGGCTCAAGGTCACACCCTTCCTAGGACATACCCATATCTAGTGATTGGGCTTGGCCAGGGGCTGTTTGGCCCACGAAGTTACAACTCTGACAGGCAGTTCTCATTCCAGAAATTCCCATTGAGCCAATCAGGACTCTGCTGGGCCTATACCAGAGTCTAACCTTCCCCTGCCCATTCTACTTCCTCTGTGTTCTTCTTACAGGTGTTGATCCCTCTTAAGCATCTTATGTCCTGTAGCGAGCTGAATGGTGACCCTCCTACAGAAAGATATGTCCACATCCTACTCCCCAGAACCTGTGACGATTACCTGACATGGGAAGAGATGTGACTAACTCAACGATTATAAGGGAGGGAATTTGCCTTGAGCAGACCAGGTAGACCCTCAATGCCATCTCATGTGTCCTTACAAGAGAGAGGCAGAGGGAGTTTGAAGACAGAAGAGGAGTGATGTAAAGGTGGAGGCCAAGATTAGGGTGATGTGCCCACAAGCCAGGGAACCCTGACAGCCACCAGAAGCTGGGAGAGGCAAGGTACAGAGTCTCCTCCAGAGCCCCCAGAGGAATGTGGCCCTGAATGCAGTATATCCTCTGTCTTTCCAGCTGGATTTCACAACACTTTGATTTCAGCCCACTGAAACTAACTTCAGACTTTTGGCCTCCAGAACTGTGAGAAAATAAACTTCTACTGTTTTGAGCCACACACTTTGTTATAATTTGTTATAGCACTCACAAGAAATTGATACATACCCCAATGTCCATCTTAGTATCCTCTTCTGGAGAACCCAACCTGCAACACTTCTCAACTCCAGTCTACTGTGTTTCATTCACATGGGAGAGTACAAGATGCATCCATATCCAGAGCTGAGTTTCTTTCCTGCATTGACAAGGTTCCATGCACCATTGAAGACCCTGACTGGGTCCTATCCTGATCCTAAGTTTTGCTTAACAGGCCAACCCTCAGAGATCACTTTCTGAATCTTTTCTCTGAATTCCTGGGCCACAGGTCTGTATCCCATTTGAAGCTAATCCCAAGGGTAACCCAGAAAGATCCATGTCCCACCCTCCCATCCAGTTGGAAACTTCTCAAATGTGGTGGTGACATGGGGCTCTTTGTATTCCCATAGTAATGCAGGGCAGGACACAAAGCAGATGCTAGGAAAATGTTCTTACTGAGGACAATAACTATTCTTCAGCCCTTTTCACTTAGTGCTGTTCATACACCATACTGGCCATGTGTAGGAAGGACAGCGCCACTTCCCCAAAAATAGTGCCTGCCTGTCACCAGCCAGGAGACAGGGGAGTGAACACTCCAGTGACTTCAGCCAGAACAAAATTATTGTCATGTATTCTCAGTCCCCTAGAATTTGATTGGAGGCATTAAAATTTCTTTCTTTCTGTTTTCTTTCTTTCTTTTCAGTACAATACTGAGGACTGAACCCTTGGACACTCTACCCCTAAGCAACAGCCTCAGCTTTAAAAAATTTTTTTTAAATTTTGAAGCACAGTCTTGCTAAGTTACCCAGTCTGGCCTCAAACTTGCAGTCCTGCCTTAGCCTTCCAAATAGCTGAGATTATAGGCAAGCTCCACTAAGCCTAGCTTAGAGTTATCATTTTTCCCTCCCTCCCTCCCTTCTTCCCTCCCTCCTTCCCTCTCTCTCTCTCTCTCTCTCTCTAACAGCCCTGGGGATTGAACCCCAGGGCCTTTGCACTGAGATGCATCCCCAGTCCTCTTTATTTATTAGTCTGTGAGAGGATCTCACTGTCACTAAGTTGCACAGGCTGAGGTTGAAGTTGTAATCCTCTTACCTCAGCCTCCCAGCGTGTAGACTATTTTGCTGAGTTACATCAGCTACTGCCTTTTAGCCTGCAGGACTGACTACATGACCTATGGGGCTCAGAGCAAAATAACAATGTAAGTCTCCTACTCAAAATTATTAAGATTTGCACGGAGCTAAGTAGCCCTATGCAACTGCGTAGGTCGCAGCCCACACAGCCAGCACTTGGTATTGAATGTTCTTGGCATTTTCTGGTGTCTTATTTGACCTCTGTGCCCAAGGGTAGCAGGTGTGGGACCAGGGGTGATATATAAAATATTTAATAACCACCGTGGCAAAGACCTATGAGAACAGACTCTGGTGGCTACGACTATCAGAAAGGTCAAACCACAGCCCCATGGGCAAATCTGCCTTTTCACAGGAGGAAGCTAGTTTCAGTGATGTGCTTAAAGTGACAATTTTTAGGTTTCTTGCTTTCTCAGTCCTCCCCTGTAGCATCTGACTTCTGCCTATAAGCGATTCCATGAACATTTCCTCTTCGGGAAATTTAAACAAATACTTTGTTGGATTTGTATTCTTTTTTTGTTTTGTTTGAAAAAATGTTTTTATCAGTACATGTTTGCAGTACATAATGAGTACATCATCATAAGGAATGTGTACATGTGCATACCACATCTTAATTCTTTTTTTTCCCTTCCCCTTCCCTCCCTCCAACCCTTTTTCCCCTCTGCATTTACAAAAGCTTTATTTACATTTTTTCCTTCAATTCTTTTTTTCTTTAAATCTCTTTTCCCTTCCTCCCCTCTCCTCCCCCACCACTTGTTCCCCCTTCCCATTTGCAAAAGTTCTTCCTATGTCCTAATATCTATCCTCCATTTTGTTCCTTATTTATACTTTGGGTTTCTCACACAATAAAAATAATGCAATATTTAAACTTCTGTGTCTGATTTATTTCACTTAAGATTATAGTCTCAAGGTGCACCCATTTACCTAAAATTATCTCAAGTCTATCCTTCTTTATGGCAGAGTAGTACTTCATTGTATATAAATACCACATTTTCTTTATCCATTCATCTGTTGATGGGCATATAGGCTGCTTCCAAGATTTAGCTATTATAAATTGTTCTGCTATAAATATGAATATGCATGTGTCACTGTAATATGATGCCTTTAACTCTTTCAAGAAGATAACTAGAAGAGGAATAGCTGGGTCAAATGGAACCTCTAGTTTTAGTTTTTTGAGGAATCTCTATACTGCTTTCCATAATGGTTATCCCATTATTTTCAGAAAGGTCTAGAGCTCTGGAATCAGACAGACTTGATTCAAATCATGGCTGTGCTGGTTACTGTGGGACCTTTGACAGGTTAACTAACCTTTCTGAGCCTTGCTTCCCACATCCACTAAATGGGACGAAAAAGATTAACCCTTGCAGGGATGTCATCCTGTTTAGATAACATGTCTGCAGCTCTTGATGGCATTAGGACAGTTTTAGGCCACGTGGGAGGATCAACACACATGTAGGGGCTCCTGCATTTGCAAATACCAAGGAGGCAAAAGGAATTGACCAACAAAGATGGGCTTCAACCTATGCAAGTGGCTCACTCATTAGAGCTCTCTGAAGGGTCAGATAGAGACAGGAGCACCTCTGTCGCACTGTGTGACCAGGTAATAGCCTGAGGCCTGGACCACGACCCGAGGGTCAGTGTGTCATTGCAGAGGGAACATAAGCTCTGGAAGCACACATGTCTACTTTTGGGCACTGCACAGTCCTTCTTGCAAAAGTCAGTGCTTCAGAGTGATTCATTGCAGTAATAGTATTCACTGCAATTCAGTAATGAATAAGCCAATAATTTACTATGGATAAGCAAAGTTATTCATTGTCATTTCAAAATATTGGAAACTATCTAAATGTCTGTACATAGGACAAAGGTTGGATAAACTACATTGGAGTGCCATGCCACTGTACAAGTGAATGAAGAAACACTCTATGAACTGATACGGAGTGACTGGCAGGATATAGTAAGTGAGAATGAAGCAAAGCACCAAAGGATACTTATAGGATGAGGCTGCTCTGAATTGGATGCTGTCAATAACTAGGGAGTAATTCTGTAATTACCTCTCTCAATAAATTTTAACTAAAGCCCAAGAGGAATGAGGAGTGGTTAAAGCTACAGTTAGTAAAGCAGTGGCAGTCACTCATACCCTCCTATTACCCAGGATGATCTTTGTTTCTCTCTTTTTTTTTGGTGGTGGTACTGGGTTTTGAACTCAGGCCCCTCGCATTGAGATACATCCCCAGAGCTTTTTAGTTTCTTGTTTTGAGATAGGGTCTCACTAAGTTGCTCAATTGCCCAGGTTGGGCTCAAACTTATGATTCTCCTGCTTCAGGCTTCCAGAGTGTTGAGATTATAGGCGTGCACCACCACGCCCAGCTTGTTTGGTCATTTTATTTGAATAATTTTTATGTTGTTGTTTGTACTCAGACATGAGTACAGAGTGGCCTTGTTTGATGTTGGAATTCTGAGAAATTGTTTATGTTCAAGGAGAACACCAAGGCTGAGCTGTGAAGGCCAGCCCAGCTGGGAACAACAGCAAGGGTCAGGACTAACTGACAATGCCAAGCCGTTCCCAGCTGTCATGGGTTGCTTTTCTTTCTCAGTAGGAGAACTAGTGAAATTCAAATAAGGCCTATAGATTAGTAAATAGCATTTTATCAGTGTTCATTTCTTAATATTTATAATTGTACGATAGTTATGTAAGGAAAGTTGGGTGAAGGCATAGAGGAATTCTGTTTACTATTTTGGAACTTTATTCCAAAAATAAAAATTTCTTTTTAAAAAAACCCTCATTGCACAGAGCATAAGTTTAGCACCATATGAACAGGATGGCTTGCATATTGGGACTGTGCTGTATAAAACAAAATACATATCTCAAAACATCAAAGCATTGCCTACACAAGATGGTCTTGATTACGAGAGACCCATGGACACTGACTTGAATTCAAAAGAAGATTCAGGTCTCCATTTGAGATGTACTCTAAGGTAATGCTCATTGAGTTGAAGCATGCCTGCACTATATCCATTGTTACCAATCTTCTCTTCCTCTCTCTTATTTACTTTTCTAAGGCAAATGTGCCCATATCAGGGCCATGGCTGCTTCTACTGCCCAGGAAGGCAGCAGAGACCTGGGGCTTCCCCATGCTCAGATCTAATTTCTTCCCTTCAACCCACAAACCACAGTGCTTCTTGAAGAGCAGGCACTGAGCATGGGCTGAAGTCCACTCACCTCGTCTCCCCATCCTGCCATCCCCACCCTGTCTCCATTAAGCTGAGTCCGTCTTTCTGCTTCCTGTCACTATTTAGAGCTTCAGTCTGAAATTTTTCTTTTCAAAATTTTTATTAGTACATATTTGCAGTACCTAATGATTATTTACATTCATCAAGGGAAGTTGGGACATGTACATAACACATCTTAATTCTTTTTATATGTCTTTCCTGAAAAATCATTCTTTGAGAATTGTGCCAAAAGTGAGTTAGTATTCCATTTGTCAAAATAACAAATATTTTAATATTTTATTTTTTAATGATCCTACTCAAGGCAGGCAAAAATTCAGGAAAAGAGGCAAGTCATGGAAACTTGATGAGAACATAATCCTATTGAAAAGCAACTTGGCAAAGTTCATCAAGAGCCTCAAAAAGGATGGCACATTCTACCCAGCAATTCCACCTCTGGGACACTATCCAAAGGAAGTAATCAAGAATGCAGAGAGATTTATGAGAAGATTGGCTATTAAAAATCATGCGTTGAACATTTGTAACCCCCTACTGAACAAGAGTGAGATTTTTAATAGGCATAAATTATAAGACAAGGAAAAATGAGACAGGAAAAAAATAAAAACACAATTTTGAAAGCTGGAAAGCAAATAACTTAGGACCCAAAGAACTGAATCCTAAACTGGCAGCAAACTGCCAAGAACTAACCCAATTTATACCACAAAATCCTTCAAAAGGTGAAGGAATTGATGGCACTAGATCCTTCAGGAAGTGAGGGGAGGAGAGTAGCTGAAATACGGATGAGGTTTAAATGACTGTTTTCAGAAGCAATTGGATGTCTGATCCTCTCCACCCTTCACAGCCAAGAAATGGCCCTCCAAGACCAACCTAAGACCGGAAGTCCCTTCCCTGGAGACAGGCAATCAAAGGAACTTCAGGGACAGTGTGCCAAGACTAAAGTGGCAAGTCACACTGAAAACAGAGGGATCAAGGGCTCATGTGCACAGTGGCTGTGAGCTCACCACCCTTTCCTGCAGATGAATGCATGAGTGAAACCCCAAGGGAAAAGATCAAAAGACTTAACATCTGGAGTCTTTCAACAGCCCCTACCCCAGCCAGGTTCCTACAGCAAAGGTCACATTAGGCAAACCCCACTAGCTGTTCAGAGTGTTCAGTCATTTTTTTCAGTTCCCCATTCCTATTATTTTCTGTGGGGTTTTTTTCTCTAAAATTATTTTGAAATTATCTCAAGTCTTCAGAAAAGCTCAAAGAAAAGTACAAATAACTCCCGCATACTTTGCATCTGTATTCCTAATTATTTGTTTTTTCTCATGTTTGCATTATCATTTTCTCCCTCCCTCTCCACCACTCCTCCCACCCATGTCACTCTGATGCCTCGTGCTCTCCCCCACTTCTGCACCCCCATTTTCTCAGCCATTTTACGAAAGTTACAGATTTACCCCTAAATACTTGAATATATATCTTAAAAACAAATAAAAATTTACATGACCATAGAATGATGATCAAGATGCGAAGATTAACACTGGTGCAGTGCTATTATCAAACTACAGTCCTTATTCAAATTTTGTCAATTTGCCCAAAAATTTTCTTCAAAATTTTTTTCTGTCCTAGAACTCAATTCAGGACTTCACATTCTTTTTGTTTTAATTTATTAGTGCATGAGTGTAGTACATAATGTTTACATTCCTTGTGGGAAGTTGATACATGTACATAACACATCTTAATTCCTTTTTCATCCTCTTTCCCTTCCCTCCACCCCTCCTCTACCCATCCCATGAGCATGTACACATTTACAGTACATAATGTTTACATTTCCAGGACTGCATATTACATTTAGCTGTTGTATCTCTTTGGTCTCCTTTAATTTGGAGTAACTTCTGTGTGTGTGTGTGTGTGTGTGTGTGTGTTTGTGTGTGTGTTTTATCACTTTGATGTCCTCAAAGTAAAAGGGCCACTTATTTTGCAAAATGTTCTTCAGTTTGAGTTTGTCTGATATTTCCTTGTGATTCAATTTAAGGTTTTCATTTTGGGTAGGAATGTGTGATCTCTTTCTTGCATTCTATCAGAGGACAGCTGAAGTCAGTTTGTTCCATTGTTGGTGATGTGTACTTGGTTAAGGTGAAGGCTATTGGGAAACCTCTGCTGTAAAGTTAATACATAACTGAAGAGGAATAAATTAGAAACTATGTAAATATTCTCTAGTCATCAAATCTCCACCTACTCATTTTAACATCCACTTATGTGTAGTTCTTACCTGAATCAGCTGTTATGATGATGATTGTTGTATCAGTCAGTGCTCACTAGAGAAACAGATTTGATTTGACATAGTAGGCTCACAATGGTGGCCTATAGAGTCAGGTGTGGAAGAGGGCAAAAGGGCTGTCTGTGTGATGGAGATCCAAAGGATCCAGTCAAAAGTTAAAGGCCTGGAGCTCACTGTAGAGTCCCATGCAAGCTCGTATCAGGAAGCCAAGAAGGTTCTGCATTGGAAGGCTGAAGGGTCTGTGCTAGAAACCAGGAGATGACATCCAAGGTGAAGGCAA